CGACTGGCGATTTATCGTGCAGCCCTAATTTCTGCCATATGTACATTAACTGACAGTCACCACTGATAAGCTACCACTAAATATTGTAGAAACTTAATTTGCTGTACAGTTTCTTTGCAACGATTTGTATCGTGAAAAGCACTATACAAATAAACTTGAATTGAATTGAATATTTTGAAGAATGTTTCAACTGTTTCTTCCCCTATACTATGAAAGTCAACAAATTTGGATCCTCTTTACTATGAACTATCCTTTGAAACGGTTATATAGTGTCATTAAAAAGATGGAGATTAGCAAGATTTTTGTTTTTGAAAAGTCCCTTATGCTCAGCAAGGCTGCATTTATTTGATCAAAAATACAGTACATATACAGTAATATTGCGAACAATTATTGCGATTTAAAAACTGTTTCTGTAGTATTTTAACGTCATAGCAAAGCTGAATTTTCAGCAGTCATTACTCCAGTCTTTAGTGTCATATGATCCTTCAGAAATCATTCTAATATGATAATTTGGTGCTCAAGAGACATTATTATACAAGTTGAAAACAGCTTAATATTTTTTTCAGAATTCTTTGATATATGTGACCCTGAACCACAAAACAAGTCTTAAGTCGCTTGGGTATATTTTTAGCAATAGCCAAAAAAACTAATTTCGATTTTTTTTGTTTTATGCCAAAAATCATTAGGATATTAAGTAAAGATCCATGAAGATATTTAGTAAATTTCCTACCGTAAATATATCAAAACTTAATTTTTGATTAGCAATATGTATTAAGAACTTCATTTGGACATCTTTAAAGGCGTTTTTCTCAGTATTTTGATTTTTTTGCACCCTCAGATTCCAGATTTTCAAATAGTTGTATCTCGGTCAAATATTGTCCTATCCTAACAAACCACACATCAATGGAAAGCTTATTTATTCAGCTTCAGGGCTCGAAAAATGTCAAAATCCCTGGTAGCCCTTCGGGCAGGCATTCTTCAGGTTTTGGTAGCCCAAAATTAATTTAACTAACCCGAATAAAAAAAGACATCGGCTGAACATTACTGTGGACAAATCAGCATGATCAGCAAAAACTAGTAGCATATAGGGATGTAACGATTCACTAAACTTACGATGCAATAAAATTCATGATACAGATTACACAATACAATTTATTTATATATTAATTTTTTTACAAAATGAGATTTAAGACAAATTATAAATGAAAAGATGTCCTTTTATTATGTCTCAGACAAAATGCTGCATATTTCTTTGTGAAATTGTAATGTTAAATAATAAAACTAACTTGAAATTTTAAAACCAATCCCAAATCAAATAGAAAATTATACAACTAAAAGAAATCTCTTCATATAAACAAAAAGCTTTGCCTGTGCTCTATTTAAAATCAGAAGCAACCACTGCATTTGAATTACTATCCAAAAAAAGATGCTAAATATATGTTATTTGGATTGTATAATTTCAAAATTTGAAGCAAAAACAGAATGGTCTGATTTTTGCTTTGTGAATGAGACGCAAATGTCACTCTCTGACAACAGGTGGCACTAATGGAACAGCAGGTATTTATAGGCTGCTGCCCCTTTAAGACCGAATGCACGGATCCAATATAATGATGCACAGGAGATGTTTTTTCTCCACTGTTTACGTTCACTTAAAGGGTTAGTTCACCCAAAAATGAAAATTCTGTCATAAATTACTCACCCTTGTGTTGTTCGAAACCCGTAAGACCTTTGTTCATCTTCGGAACACAATTTAAGATATTTTTGATGAAATATGAGGGCTCTCTGACCCTCCCATAGACAGCAAGGTAACTACCACGTTCAAGGTCCAGAAAAGTACCAAGATGATCGACAAAGTAGTCCGTGTGACATCAGTGGTTCAACTGTAAAGTTACAAAGCTACGCGAGCGTGTGGCGGCGCTGACCCAGATCCGGCGTAATGACATCATCACGCTGGATCTGGGTCAGCGCCGGTGCCGCCACACGCTCGCGTCCTGGTACTGTCATGAACGCGCATCCAAAGTGACGCAGTAGAGGCGAAAATGTGGAATAAAGTCGTTATTTTTGTTTTCTTTGCTGTCTATGGGAGGGTCAGAGAGCCCTCATATTTCATCAAAAATATCTTAAAGGGGTCATATGATGCGATTTCAATTTTTCCTTTCTCTTTGGAGTGTTACAAGCTCGATTCAAACGCAAGTTTTGAGCAGTGTAGAGTAGCGCTTGTTTGTCATTTCTCCGATCACAAATGCAGACATGTATTTCAGATATTGTGTGTATAGACACACCTCGCTTTTCAGACCGATTAGCTTTGTTAAAATCGACACGTTTCAGAAAGGCGGGGCATAGAGGAGAAACAATAATGTACAGTATGTGGAAAATAATGTGTTTTACAACACGAGGCTGAGTAATTAATGACAGTATTTTCATTTTTGGGTGAACTAACCCTTTAAGACATAACCGACTGTGTTTACGAGAAAACTTGCAGACACAATTATTTTGAGATAATTTTGTGTGTATGTATTCATTCAGAAGCAAGGATACACGAAAGAGGAATCAATTCTGTGTACACGCATTGTCTGAAACGCGGCTCTCTGTGTGCGCTTTGAATGAGTGCACACAGAAAGTACCAGGGCACTAGCTCCGAATGCGTGCAAATGTTTTAAAACGCTTGAATGTTTCAGTCGTCAAGACTTAGAAACAAGTGCAAAGATCAACTATGATCCGTTTCACCCCTACAAGCGAGTGAACAACGCGAATCAAGTTAGGAATTTTTATATCGCTGTTCAAGATAGCCCGTAGGGCAGGGCAGTAGTGTTGGGTCATTCTTGAACGATTCGTTCATTTTGAACGAATTTTTAATGTGACTCGGGAAGAACGAGTCGTCTCGGGGAGTGATTCGTTCAGTCGCGCATGCGCAACATCCTATAGGTTCTGGGCAGAGTGGTGATACATTTTGGTAGCCCGACTGGAAAACACAATAGCCCCGGGACGTCGGGCTAGTGATTTTGCGAGCCCTGAGCTTTCAGATGATGTATAAATCTCAATTTTAAAAAATTGACCCTTATGACTGGTTTTGTGGTCCAGGGTCACATATATTGATGAATTGACATGTGACATTTCATAAGGGTCAGCTAAAACAAATGCTCTTTATCTTATCCTGTCTGCAAAAGCAGCCTTCATTTAACAAGTTGCTATCTCATGTGTATTTCTCTGGAAGAAACGGGTCAATTTTAATGTGCTCAAGCCCTGTTTATGAAATTAGACTTGTCCTCTAGACAGACCCCAGAGAGCTGCAGACACTAAAGATGGGCTCTGTAAAGGTCAGGTTGTTTTCTTTTTCATGACCATTTTTATTTTTTCCTGACCTAATCATTAATGTGATGTGTAATCTCTCGTTCTGGTATTTATTGGTATTGTTCATTATTGTTCAAGCTTTTGGTGTGTTTACTGTAGATCTTAGTGACCAAACACTTTTTATGTTTTTTTTTTTTTAATCAAATTCACATTTATTATTACTGCACACAGTTCTAAGTCTTGAAACCCAGACAACTCTGAGTTGAATAATTTCAACATTTGATACAAAGCAAAAAGATTCAAAAACTTTGTAATGGTAGGAAATAAAAATTGTCACATATTTGCAGTTTTGAGTGCTCTAAGTACTAATAAAGTTGTTCCTTGTGGTTAAATTGTATTTGTTTAATGACACTCAAATAAATAAAAGGGTCTTTGAGTAATGTATGTACTCAAAAGTATGTGATTTCAGCTGCAGTCAATGTCTATAGTCAATTGTGTACATTTGAGTATTTTGTATACTTAATATTTTGTTACATTGTTGTAACATGGGGTCACCCAAACTTTTGAATGGTAGTGTATATATTGTGGTTTTATATTATATTGTTGTGCTGTTGAGTAATTCTCTAGATATCAGTTTGAAATAAATTTAACTAATTTGTGAATTTAGTGAGGTGTACAGTCAACTTTAGTGTCATTTCCATGGTAACGGTCTTAGTGGATTTCACTTAATTCGGCTTTACTAAAAAAAGAAAGCAGGCTAATAGTTTCTACAGAGACATACTTCAGCACCTAACCTCTGAGTTATATTAAGGGTGTCTTAAAATATTTATCGGGTATTGCTGAAAATCAATTTCACTATGGAGATTCTGAATGGCATTTTTACATCCATAAGCCATTCGGTTGAGCCCTATTGTATGAACGTGTCGTTTTAGCAGTGACGTAGTTGCTTGGCATCAGGCTACTCCATTAGCTTATTGAACATTGTAGATAGCTGCTTTCATGTGGCAGCTTTCTGTACGGCCTTACTTTGCAAAATCTGAAGCATTAGATATGCCCCAACTGATTCAAACCTTTACTAATATTAATTTTGGCATCTTACAAAATGTGAATCATCAGAATCCATCTCTCTACATAACCAACTCTTACCTCAGGCCCTCTCTACCAATAAGTCAATATGTGACTGACATGATTTAACAAAATATCAACAGATTGGATCTGCGTGCTCCACTGTTTGGCCAGCTCTGGATTGTAATGCAGTTATGAAGGCAATTGGCTGCAGGCAGTTTGCATATTTCAAATCGTAATAAAGAACGGACAGGCCAGAGCGCATACCACAGCTTTTTAAGTCCAGCAGCCATTACGGCTTGCGGGAAGTCATTTAAACTGCAGAATAACTCACTTTGATGACCTGTGCTGCTGTTTATTAACTAGACTCTGTTAGTGTCTCAAGCAGTGTCTAAAAGTGTGCACTCAGGCTTCCTGAAACACTGACTGTAAAATAGAACAAATACAGCACGCAGAAAACACTGTGATTTAAACTGAACCTACCATAAGTACTATTTGTGTTTTCCTTTCCTAGGTTTTCTGTTTGCTTTTGAGACATTGTATTTCGTTGCACAAATCTCAAGCCTCTAAAACCCGATCAATAGCATCCTCAATCTGAGCAAAAATAGTCGTTTGAAGCTTAATCTTTTTGTTCTCTTTTTCAGGAAACCCCTTCGAAAAGAAGAGAACGGCACAAGCCGAGGGGAGTATGCCATGAGCTCACGCTGTAAACAGCAGGTAGTGGAAACCAATAACACTGGAGTATAGTGGCCATGCTACAGCAAGGCATGTACAGCTGAACATTTTGTACCATACAGCACCACCATCTCTGTTTGGGTTTATGAGATGGACGCAAGGTATATTATGAATTTAGGAACTGTAAATCATGCCTGCCCTTCTTGAGACTTAAAATTATGTTTAAAGAAAAGACTAAGGTGAATACTTAATGACTGATGTGTATAGGCAAGTATAAGCGGTTTTGAGGAGACACGGAAACTCATACCGATGCTGACAGCTGCACGAATATCATGAGACTCAACCTGGCAGCCCCCCGGGGCCTCTTTGAGGACAATATACAACATCAACAAAATAAACGCATGCACTTTCTGTTGAATGCAGTGATGTTTTAAAATTCCTGTCTTCTATTGTCTTTAACTCTCTTTGCAGTGTTCCTCATTAAACGTTAAGGGTTCTCTCACCTCATGTAGATTGTGTGAGTGTTTAATGGATAATTGACTGCAGTTGACCTATCGGTAAGCCCCTCCCCTTGAAGGCAGATGAGCCAATGGCAGTCGAGTATCAGTTAATAGAGTTAATAGAGAGTCATAGAGAAACATTGGAAGATCCGAAGCTCGCATCGGTTTAATGGTGTTTATGCTACAAAAATGGAAAAACGATGTGCCTAGGGTACTTGTAACACTAATTTCAGTTATCCTGAGAGGATAGGCAATGTAATTTATTTTATTCCATTTCTTAAATCCAACCAAAACAGAGCAAAATGTCCCTAAGCATTCAACCCCAATCACAATGAAGACGAAAACGTTCATTTTCTGGTTGTCATACTCTCAGTTACACTTTTCATCTGCTCAAGCAGAACGTTAATGTCATCTTGTGCTTCAGCAAGGTATCTCATTAGCGTTAAAGTTAGTGAGTCCATGCTAACGTACAAACCTAAAGAGCGAACTGTTCTCACGTCATGTACCGTGCAGTGAAAGTCAAAAACACATAAACGAAGGTCTATATTAGAGTGCCTCTCCATATTAATCTGGTTAAATGTAAATTAATTTAATCTTACTCTCCAGTATACGAACGGTGTTGGTCCGGGATGTTGTCATTGCGATCGTGACGACCGTAACATAACTCTCCCATTTGCATTGTGATCTGTATTTTTACATATTTATTTTAATATCTTTTATATATCCCTCCATGGTATATTTAAGTCCCACTTGAAGGTCCATCTGTGTCCCAAATTGATCAGAAACACCTCGGAAGAAGGTTTTCACTGACAGCCGTCATTGTAAGACAGTGAGCAACTCCGTTTGTTTGTCCGAGCGAGCAACAGTAACTAAGGAGGGCGGGGCTTACCGATAGGTCAATTGGCCCCATTGTTTTTATACAATCTCCAAATGGGATTGGGTGGTCCTGCATTTTGTGTACCAAATATACAAGGGAGAATAAGAAATGTTTTTTTGCAGTTTGTGTTACTATGCAATTGGAAAGGATTGAGTTCTTGAGGTGCATATTTATAATACAAAAAACAAGGCTAGCATTAGCATCACTAATAGTTAACAGATTGTAGTCTGACCGTTCTATACATATGTATACAAATTTGTCTGATGGTGTAGCCCACATGTGAAAGATATCTAATTTTAAATACATGGAAACAACAACAACAGGCATGATGGATTGATGAATAATTTCATGTTATGGCTGATAAATAGCTGTTATTAAAATCTGTACTAGTTTGTCCAAAAATAAAATGCCCCCCAAACTAAAATTGTTAGTTTTTGTAAATGTCAAAGCTATGTTTGGATGCATAGACAACATAATGTACAGTATGACATATGGATAACTCTTTATTTTAAGATGAACAATTGATTGAGTAGTTGAGATTTAAAAAATCATAATGGGTGAGAGTCCCATTATAGGAAGGCACTCTTTAGGAAATCGTGCTCTTAAAGTGTTAAATCTTTGCCGTAATGTATTTAAGTTAGCTCTAGACAAGACAAAGCAAGTGTCCACAATTAAATATCCATTTAATAAAATAAATATCCAATATGTACAAATACTGATTAAAAATTGACTAATGTTGTCTTATAACAGATATGGTCCTAACATGATGCATCTCTAACTAGTTTGGCTTTCGGTGTTACATTTATATGGAATGTACACAATATGATGGATGTCCTGTATCCGTTTACCTTTCAGTAGCTGCACATACCCGTTCAGTTGTTAGTTACAACTGAAACAATTCACAATTAGTCAGGATTTGTTCGTCAAAGGGGTCCATAATTTTGCTCCAAGTAGATATATTACAAGCGGGAAACGAAATAAAATGGTTACATAAAATTACATTTTGAAGTTGAAATACTTTGGCCCAGTTTCACAGACAGAGCTTAGCTTAAGCCAGGACTAGGCCTTCGTTAAATTAGAATATTTAAGCAGCTTTTATTAAAATGACTTCTAAAAAAATATTACTGGCGTGCATCTTGAGACAAAACAATGGCACTGACATATTTTAAGATATGTCAGTGCAAGTTATTTTCAGTTGAGACAGCTCAAACATGCATTTTAGTCTGGGACTAGCCTTAAGCCTTGTCTGTGAAACTGGGGCTAAATGTATTAAATAGTGTTTTTTTTTTTTTTTTTTTTTTTAG